TACCACCTTCACTAGCTTTGTTGTGAGGAACTTGCAATCTAAACATTGATGCTGCCGATTGCCTTTTTGGCCATTCTTATCACCACCGACTATCTTGCCGCGGCAACCGAGATAGTATCGAGCACACAACGTCACCTTACCATCTATACTCTCACTCCTGATCTGGTCTGTTCGCCTGAGATGATGCTCTACAACTTCACTCATAGTGTTACTGCGACTGTGCGCTACGCTAATACGCTGCTGTCAGTAAAGAATGCTGTATGTTTTCTCGGCACTTCACGCTCTCGATGGGTGCCTGGCTGTTCAATGCAGGAGGGCTCAAGGGCAGGCATAATATGCAAATTGCTACAAAATTTGCAGGTTGGTTATGGGAAGTTGCACGATTCATTCACGCAGCCTCGATCCTTCCCTTTTGGTAAACTTGAGTATGAGGGTTTTGTACAAATGCGTTGTCTCTCATTGGCGACATAGTCTATGGATAAAATCACTAATCATCAATGCATTAAATGAACCGACCTCTCTTCTCGTCTCTCTGTGATTGTCCAAAGTTTTAACAATGCTAAGAACTCTGTGACACAAATGCACAGTGCATCACATTAAGGAAAGCCTTTCTGTATACATTGGCTCGAGGAGGTAGTTAAGTCAGAGTGTCCCTTACTTGCCTCCACTCTCCGATGCCAGTCGGTTCAACATTTGTACCACAAAACTCGCTGCCTCGTTTCGACTCGTAACACCGAAATTTACAAATCCACAACACTGATTAATTAATTGTGGACATTCCATTGCTCTTTCGGGAGAAACGATTAATGCTTAAGCGTCAAATGCACTGTGTTAGCCTTCCGATAAGTGGACTACTGAGAACTGCTAGGCCTAATGTGAGTTGCGATTTTGACACAACTTCCAAATTTATCCATGTGTCTCACGTAGTTCCACCTGCAACAAGCGTTCGATCCAAATGAGAATGGGCTGGAGTCATTAAATCCACTTGGAAGAAGTCACTGCATTGTTGCAAAGATAGGGGTGCGCACTTCTGTTTCTCCAAATGCCACGCAGTAGAATTGATGAATGTCGTGGTCTTAATCTCGCAAATGAGAGGGGTCAGATGCCAACCTTTAATACTTGATGTGTTCGAAATTGTCCTTCGCATATAGCACAGCGGTAGAGCACACGACTCACGGTTTCAGTACACAAACCAATTTTGCCAACATTTGTGCATTACGAAAAATATGTCGAGCTTTATCCACCTCTTGGTACTTACTTTCACTGTCTCTTGACTTCAATGTGCAGCACGCCAAGGTATTTGGTTTTTTTAATATAAAACAGTTGATGCATACGGTTGACACAGTTAAGCGAGTGCTCCTCGTGCTTTAGCAAGCAGCGCTAAATTCTACTGGATTCAGCGCATTTCTGGGGCCCCCACTGGACAGCGACTGCAATTCGGTTAGAGAGTGGATTCGACTCGGATACCAGGAAGGATCACAGCGAGTTCAGCTCTACCAAATCTCATACCATTGTCGAATATTTGACTCCTTTGCCTGGTTTGTTAACCACTTTACCGACAGTAGATGCGACTCACTCGGACCACCCATCTCCGCGGTCTCCGTTGTAGTTCAACGCAAACTCATTCTGCAGGGCATTATTGTCTATCTCCTCAGTATGGGCTGGAAACGCGTCGCTCTCCTCTACGACATAAGTATCACCAACCTTGATATTCCTGGAACGTGGGATTCAATCCCATTAAACATTCGCCTCTCTCGCAAAAGACAAAATGTTCCCCAGCTGCTGACTAGTGTTCCCATTAAGTTAGCGGCTAACTTTTTGAGTTCCTTCCAACCACTGGAAGACCATATAGACGGTAATTGTCGATGTTTGATACAATGAGTGGACCATTGTAGTTCTTCGACTTCTCCTCTCTCTTTAGTTGCATTGATATTAGCAAGGCCAGCAATGGCAATGGAATTCTTGGCTAGCATTCAGAACCTGAGCAGAGTTAAACAGGGCAGGATAGCACTCATTCAAGTGAATCCCAAGGACATACTCACATATGATGCATTGCGCGAGTGGAGATGGCGTTTGCCGAAAATTGGACCTACGTTGGCCGCCGGCCGTTCGCTCATCATTTTGACGGCACTCCCAAAGGGCACAGCGTACGACGAAAATTCGATCATATTTAAGGAGGTAACCCATGAAGCCTTACATGACAACCCCAATTTTCCATAAAACCACTATTACCGCATTCCAGAGGCAAGTCATCCGGTTGTGGGGTGAAATGTTCGGCATTTCAGGGAGGGAGTTTTGGCTGGCATGCTCGCCTTCTAAATGCATGTAAATGATGAGTTTAACAAAATTTATTTTCATGCCTACCCAGACGTCTGTTCGGTAAATTGCAGTCCCTCGATGTTGAGGTTTTGTAAAGAAGTAATGCATAGTAAAATGACGCCCTGCATGTTTCGGAAGTGATCCAAAGCAAGTGAAACTGACTGCTCGTCCTTAGCACTTGCAAGTTCCGACTTCACTCCTCTCGGCTCACTATCCAGTGGGTGCTATCCCATCGATGGCGTAAAACCACTTTTCGCAATTATAGAAGGGAGTGTTTTCCCAAGCCATCAAAGCTACGAATTAAATAAACAGACAAATGTATATATATACGGGTGTGCATGAACCTTGAATGTGGAAATACATTTTTGATTAAATGGTTAACGGATTCCTATTTTTCGCAGCGAATAAATCTGCAGGTAGCCAGTGGAGCGGCGCTTGCAATGAGATTAGTCCAAATTCATCTCCAAGAGGGCGACGGCCATCTCAACTCTTCCGCCAATCTCTTTGAGCCATTGCGTACTAACCCACTTGTTCGTGTGCCTGCATTGCCCAACGTCACTTTTCAATACCGTTTCGGGGACGACAATGTCATTCAGGGCAGTTTTGATTTCCTTCTTTTTGCCCTCAAAGCCAACGTCACCGATGCTGCTGACACTAAGCTTCCCATAACGAATTATAACGACATTTTTGATCTCGTTCACGTCATCCATTTTCCACCGATACTGCCTCAACCAAGGCGCAAAATGAGTTGGCCTGGAGATGGAACGGGGCCCCATCGCACTCAATGTCTAATAGCGCCTTGTGATATCGGTACGTGATGCACGTCGTCCCACCTTAGCTCCCCTTTCATCCCACTCTTTCTTTTTAAGACTCAGTGAAGCCCATCCTCGTAATAAATTCACTTGGATTTCTTGGCACCAGCCTCGCATACATAGGTGCTGCGCTGCTATACCGGTAGGCTAAATAGTTCTAAACCATCGAGGATTTCAATTTAGGCAGATCGTCAACAGGAAGAAACGCTTCATCCCACTCAAACTCATTTTCCTCGAAAGCGATTTCGTGTATGATGGAAGGGGAGGAGGACTGGCAGATGATGGCTGCAAAGGCGTAAGGGTGTTTTGCAGACCTATGCAGCGATGGAATGAGTTTGGTTCCATATTTCTTTGCCCTCCACTTTATTGGCGTTGCAGTCCCCCAAAAGAGCACAGTTTCATGGGCAACTGGTACCGACTTCGGGTGGAATCTCTCCACGCCATACACTTACGACAGTTGCCCATGTCCACAAGTCGTCGTCGAGTTTTGGGCGAGGAAGTGTGTCCAGCCCAAATAATGCGAGGATTGCATGGTTGAACGTAAGTTTTACGAGTCAAAGAGGAAAATAAATAATGAAAGATGTCGACTGACTTGGATCCACTTAAATGTGTCAAAATCTGGATAGCATACAGACGTCCTATGTTTTGGTCATACAGAGCAGATTTTCTACACTGGAGCTAAATACTGCTGTAAATTTAACAATGTGGCATACTGTAGACATTAAACGCATAACTCCAACACGGATGCAAGAATTTCGGGGAACAGTCTACTTCACCCAACAAGGATATTTTCGTTGTTTTAAAGTGGGTCCTCAGTTCAATTGCATGCTACAATTCAGCACTAGATTAATTCACTGCATAGCTTAACCAGTTCTGTCCGGAATCGCATTTTATGTGTAGAGAGAGCACAATGACTGGCTGTCATAACTCACCCTCAGAATACATTTGGCCTCAAATGCAATAGCAAGAGGAAGCGTACACCTTGCCTCTGGGATGAAGCGATTTGTGCATGTTGACGAGGTTGTGCAATGCTCGGTGCCTACACCGGATGGAGAGAAAAGAAGTTGCTCGCTTCAGGCACTCGTAGCAATTGTGGTCAGATGACAGGCGTAGAATGAGCACCTTTTCCCCATCTGCACTCCATGGTCCCCACGCCACTGGCAAAGGAAGTAGGATCGGGAAAAGCAAGTGAAGGACCGATGCGATTGCCAACATCTGTCCCCAGAACTTCGTGTGCACCACGCTCCACCTCAGACATTTGCATTCCTCACCTATTTCGAGTCGACCCACCTTAACATTGTAAATACGCATCACATAATTGTGCATTTGCTACGTACGCACATAACTTCGACATGCTTTGGCAACATTTTTTTCCGTAATGCTGGATTAGTTTTGAAGTACGTTATTGTTTTGGTTGTTGCCTAGGGTGTCCAAGTCCGCATGAAACGATTGCTTCTGTCTCACGTTGTGCTGCGTGCGCAGTTGATTGAGCATCTAGCAGGACTGCGAGAAATTAGGCACGAGAACGTCAACGCTTTTCTGGGCTGCTGTGTGACTTCGGAAGCCTTCAATCTTGTTTTTGAGCACTGTCACTGGGGATGCTTGCAGGTAGCAAGGCAATATATTTTGTGCACTTCTACAACAGTCACCTGCATTTGCACTACACCCTAGACTAACTCGATATCGGTGCTAGCCACGCGCTGCTGATGAGGTTCCGTCGGCTTTAATTAGCGTACATTATCACTCGTGAGTTTATAAGGCGAGGTGAGCAGTGGTGTTGCGATCTATCCAGAAGTGGCAGCGTGTGAGGCAGGAAGGCAGATGATTTTACATGTTTGATTTGCAGTGGTAACCTCATTTTAGAACCGTCTGTTGCGCCGTTCCTCTGGTATGTATACTTGACCGATTTCCATTGCTAGTTATTCTGAGCCACAAGCTTGGTAAATTTTAAAGATGATTACACTAATAGTGGCACTCGCAGGCCAAAATATGCTCTCAATTGCAACGATTTGGAGGGCACTGTGTGCCACTCAACAACTCAATCCCCTTCCATCCCCTTCGCGCCACAAATATTCCCCTCCGTACAGACCACCCCTGGCGACGTAAAAATTAACCCAATAACACTTGGCTTCGCCGCTTCAAATTGAGGCCAGGACTTTATTGCACCATCAACCACCAGGAATGGTTACATAAAAAGCTCTGTACCGTATCTTGCATATTAGCTATGCAGACCACACAAAAACATGAAACGCACATATTAAATACCTGGAAACCGACTTTCGTACCTATGTATCGCATTTGTTTCTGCTCTCACGGCGAAGGAGGTTTAAATTAACATTGCATTCACTTTGACCTGACACCTTATGCGGTGGCACGCCACACACCGTTTCCTTTGATGCTTCTTGTGGGTGAAAGCAGTCATAGCTTGTTTTGCTGTGTGAATGCTCACAAGTTAGGTGCGACAATTCCTTTGACGTAATTCTGGCTGCACTCTACTGTGTAGGATGTTATCGCTAGAAAAAGCATTGTGTTCGATCGGCAACTCAAGCTCTCCTTCATGACTGATTTGGCTCGGGTAAGTAGACGCTACTTCATGCTCTTTGAACCAATCTCCTTCCCTGCATGCGAGTACATCTAATCGGCTATTGCAAAGGGGATGGAATATCTCCACAGTACCAGGCTTAAAGCACATGGAAGGCTAAAATCTACCAATTGCGTCGTCAGTTGGCGATGGACTTTAAAGGTTACCGATTTTGGCATTCCCGAAATTTACCACCTAAATGGCGACCGTCCCTCCATAGGGCCAGAAGGTTAGTTGCACACAGCATTACTTCATTCGCGCATGATTTTTAGAGCAACTATGGACGTCGCCTGAACTGCTGCGTGATGTAGAAGCGGCTCCTTTTGGAACCAAGCCGGGCGATGTCTATGCATTTGCCATAATAATGCACGAAGTCTTCTGCCAAACATCACCTTATGGACCCGATTATTTTTCGGCCTCAGAAATTCTTGAGCGTGTTATGGCCCAAGAGTGTCCTCCTTTTCGTCCACAAGTAAATACTTCTTGCCTCTACAGCATACAGCATGTTAATTTGGAATACAGTGCGTTACGAATGACTGCGCTGTTCGCTGCATCCGTTCATAGTGATCCAAATGCATTACACGAAACAGCACTAGTCGTGAAGGCGAGATCATGCATGCGGCGAAACTGTTCAACTTGCATGCCCTCTTAATAGAGTTGAGCAGAGTTATAGATGTGGAGGCGTACTTTCAAATGTCTACAAGACTTCATTTAGGCCAGTACGCACTTGCAGCCTTCGTGCTTGTAAATTATCCTAAGCGCCTTATGCAATCTTCTTGTTTAGCTCCCTAAAACAGGCATTCCATCGGCTGTGACAGGCATTCTTCAAAGAGCATGGTCCGAAAACCCTACTCTAAGACCAACTTTTAAGAAGCTGAATGGAGAGATTCAACAAATGACTAGAGGACAGTAGGTTTGCTTAGTGTCTGCCTGATTGTCGCGATTAATCCAGCAAAACGAATATTGTGGAGCACGTGCTGAAATTGATGGAGAACTACTCGAGTTGCTTGGAAGAGCAGGTGACGGCCCGAGTGGAAGAATTGTCGACAGAGCAAAGGAGGAAGGATCTCCTCATTCGCCGTATGCTGCCTCCGTAAGTAGCCTGTGGAACTAATTTAGCAGCATTGGCACCGTATGTTGCTAAACAAATTGGTAGCCGTCTATCCAACTAAGGACATGTATTATGTGTAGCCCATGATTTTGTGTTTGCTAATGCGTCTCCGCGGTGTTATGGACTTGTAGAGTTGTTGCGGAGGCGCTAAAATCAGGCATTGCTGTGGTACCTGAGATCTTCGATGAGGTGTCAATCTACATTAGCGACATCGTTGGATTCACAACCATTTCTGCAATGTCCACACCAATCCAGGTTGTTGATATGCTGAATGATTTGTACACACGGTTCGACGAAACAATCGCAAACTACGATGTCTACAAGGTGGGTTTAATGGGTTAATATTGGGTGTACTTCAAGGGAAATGTCTGATGCCATTTTAGGTTTCTTAAGAGCCGATTTCTTGGCCCACAGCGGTTAAAGATATTGCTCCTCCGTTGTATTTGCCGTGCTAAAAGAGGACGCAAATACTTAGCAAGATGCCTTTAAGTGCGGGATGCTAATTGCAAGTATGGCGCATGACGTGACAGACGTCTCGAAATATTTTGTCGCCTGTTCAACTTCCACTGATTGAGTGGCTAAATAATCAGTTGATCTTCTCAACCGGAGTAGTGACAACTCAGCTACAAAAAGCAGGGAAGCGAACGGAACACGCTATGGGCAAAATAATGCATTTCAAAGTTCAAAATATCTGTCGCCAGAGCGACTGCTTCCCGGTTAATTTGACGCCGACGTTTCTCAAGCTCATAGTCATATTAGCGTCTGAAGCACTCAATTTAGGCAGAATTAGGTATCGGTTTGTGCATTTTATAGGTGGAGACGATAGGCGACGCCTACATGGTGGCTTCGGGATTGCCAGTTCGTAATGGACGCCGACATGCCAGCGAAATTGCTACAATGGCTCTCGACCTTCTGAGTGTTTGCGGGGCTTTTACCATTAAGCACCTGCCAGAAGTTCCTCTGACACTACGCATCGGTCTACACAGTGGTTTGTCGGATGTGCACTCGAGATAACTCGATTGTATTTCGTGCTTCAATAACAAAACTCTTAATGAACTCTGTGTGAGGGGTACGTAAAGCTGGATTTTAATAGTTTCTCCTAGCCACTAACTAGCTCTGCATGCTCGGGCTTCATTACACTGTCGGTGCCGCGTCATTAGCGTCACAGGGAGAGAGACTGTTGAGTCTTGCCTCCGGTCGCAAATTTGTCCTTCACTTTGGGTCACGAAAGTGGAGTCATTGGTGCTTCTGTACTAATGTCGGCACACTTGCTTATTTTAGTATGCACAATGTTTGGCTAGTGTGGTAGTCTAAGTGAAGCAGCTGGCTCCACATCCACGAGTGGAGCCGGTGAACTTTGAGATCAAGCCTATGGCAAGCATGCAATAATACTTTGCCTGCTTGCTTTCAGGGCCCTGCGTGGCGGGTGTCGTGGGATTCGCGATGCCCCGATATTGTCTTTTTGGTGCTACCGTTAATCAAGCACTTAAAATGGAGTCTTCTGGAGCCGGTCAGTGGCATTCATTGTGCTCATCTCCAATTACAATTCCAACTGATTTGGCTTGCTTTAGCCTTTAGAATACATATCAGTGCAACAATGAAGGACATCTTAGATCAAATCGGGGGCTATCATTTCGCTTATCGTGGATCAATTGAATTCGAAGGTGGCGTGAAAACAACAAGCTACTGGCTATCTGGCAGCGATAATTTTCGTAAGCCTCTACCCAAACCACCTCCATTACCGACGTGAGTTGGCCGATGTTCTGTTGATGTGATTTTATTGCAGACAATTCCACTCGAAAATGCAACATTAATGAATTGTGCAAAATTGGCTCCTTGGAGGCAAGGATGGTGTAGTGGTCACTCAATTAGTTTTGTTGAAACTATGAGGCATTCCATTTTCTGCAGACTGCAGAGAAAGCATCCCCATAAATCTGGCGTTCTGCAGATCGCATTAGCTCAGGAGAAGTGGAAGGAACAGACCTAAATCATCAAGTGTCGAGAACAGTGGAGGGGATAGATGCACAGTAGTTGGATGGGTTTTACTTCTGGCCACAAGGCGCCTATCCTTGCACCGACGTAGGTGGTGCAAAAGCGCGGTGCTGATAATAGGGAGTTGTTTAGATAGACGCGACAGATCCCGTTCATTTGATCTGGATGTAAAAGAGCATCATTTTATCTGCGTCCCATGCGGTCACGTTTTGCAAAAGAAGGTGAGTTACATGCGTTTCGCAAGCAGACTGGATTGTCGGCTTTTGAATCTCCTAGCTCAATCACGTCCTTAACGGTTTTGCTGATTCCTGCTTTAAAGAGAGCGCATAAAGACCCGAATGTGCAATGCACACATACGACAGTTGGACAACTTTCCATACCTAATTTGATGTTCTTTGACAGTTGGCGAAGAAAGCCACATCCTCTGTAAATTTTATTGTCTGGTTGCAGTGGAGAAGCTCATGGGTGAGTAGCACCGTCTCAGTATTTTCGGACTTGTCACTTCTCTGTGAATATTTGCTGTTGTGGGTGCACTTCAAATTTTATACTTTGCTCGGAACCGCATTGCAATCAACACGTACAAGGATATCCTCTGAAGCATAGAGTAACAGCCTTGTCATAACACATCTTCCGAATTAATTCGCCGAGGCTCCTCATCTTATTTCCAACTAATTATGCTCTTCATAGTGAAGTCGGCTCCAAATTCCACTACTTCCGTTTGCGTTTTAGTCAGCATGCTGTGACCGTCGAGAATCCGAATTGGTGCATTTTTACTTGGCAATGCACAACAGATGTGACATTACGAGTGTGGATGTTGTAGTGAGGGAAGATTGGAATCAGCTTTTATCGTAGAAACGTTATCACCTATGTGTGTGCATGAATAACCGCATGTAATTCGAAAGTCTCCCTTCTCATCGAGGGAGCAGATAGCGCTATGCATTGTTGACACGACAGAAGGTCATGCTGCAAGTGATTGAATTTCTCATGTTTGTGATGTCCAGACAAAAATAACCTATTGCCTGCTTTGCTGGCTACTGCTTACTTGCTTTGTGGGTATCTCCGAATGCCCGTCAAGCGTGATTGTCGTGTTCGACAAAAAGTCAGTGAAATTCTGCACAAACTTTACATTTTTCCAACTTTTGCCCATTGGGGTGTCTTTTACAGTTACAGCTGTTCTGTTCCACGCTTGACTCAATTATGCAGTGGACATGCACACATGACTATCATTAAAGAAGTTACTGCTAAAAGTATGCCTCACATAGCAATGTTGCCTCACGCATTTTTCTTATTGCCGCTTCTGCTTCCTTGTAGGTTGGCCTGCGTCTATCCTAAAGCAACAAAACTGCCTTACCATTGGCGACAGCCATTATGACAGAACCGGTGGGCTTAGTTGAAAGTAAAATCAAAGGCTTTATGCATTTCAACTCCAACTAACTTGGATTATGTTTAAACCTTCCCTATTTCCATCTTGTTATACGTGTTGTACCAATCCAGTTAAGGTATTGTTCCATGTTCTCTTCCGTTGGCATGACGTCAATGGGCAATGACAATGGACACTTCGTAGCGCAATTCATGCGATTCTCGACTGCAGCCTCAATCAAAGTTAGCTTACCTCCAAAGTGTAAATATATGGGTTTTCACCCATTCTCATCTAATTTGTGCAAACCACTCTGATGTGTCTTTAAGAGCAGTGTTAAAGGGGGATGGAGAACAATTGCAGTCAACAGAAGTACGCTGTAACTTATGAAATGCAAATGCGACACAACTGGTAAGAAATGGTTTTTGCCGCAAAATCGGTGTCTTGTGATCGACCACAAAATTGGTAGGTTGTGTGCGTTACAATTTTTTGGAAAAGTAATTGTTTACTTGCTGAGCTTGGCACTCCCACCAGAGTCTTGATTATTCAACGACTTCGCCAACGATTGATGCTGAAACAGCTTTCAGGTGTGGTCTATTAACTGGGCGTGCATTTGCGTCATGTGGTCATGGGGCTTGTAAAGGTTGCAGCACAAATGCCAAGTTTCCGCAGGGCTTCATTTCTTGGAGTAACTCTTTAAGTTAGTATTGTAGTAATGTAATGTGGCTAATAAGATTTGAAATGCTTGGTAGGCAACGGCTTCAAAACAAGAGAATGGGCTGACTGATAGAAGAGCCGAAGTTGACTCATAAGAGAAGTCATTTGAAGTACAGGAGTGCCAGCCATATGTCAGCGGATGCCATCATTTCAGGCTATCAAAGTCGTGCATGTGGAAAGGGCCTCTTGGATGCATCAAATAATGTCACATTGGCTACGTTCTAATGCTGCCTTTAACAGGGCACACGAATGCTTAGTCACCAAACGCATATGATGGCCAACTACTTCAATTGCGACACCAGCTCCGCAAGTACCCATCATCACATTGTGGTGGGCTCGTGAGAAGTAGCACCACACACCGTATGCGAAGGTGATAGTTGTGGGCTAAAGGTGGATGAAAAACAAACCACGAGGAAGTCGTTCACATGTATGTGCCACGTGCGTGCAAGAGGAGTTTGTTGAGCACAAGTCTCTCGCATGAGCCACCATCGGTCTTCAGGTCAAGAAATTATCCACTGGGGATTAGTACTCCTGAGCTCCTTTCTCTGGACAACATGCCCAGCCTTGTGGGCTACGCGTTGTGAGGCAATGAAGACCAAACAGAAGTGGACAATTTGGGAACTGTTGCACTCGAACCTCTTCCATCCATGCCAAGCATGAACTACTGCGTGTGGGTGACATTTTCGTCGTCAACCTTCCACTACCCATTTTAGGTGTTATCACGCCTGCATTTTGCGATCTGTTTGCCAAGTGAAAGACTCGTACGCATAAAAGTAGACCTGATTTTAACGCAGCGAAGCCTAACCACCTCGAGCACCCATGTTGAGACGATATACTGCACTGCTCAATGCGTCACGAATAGCAATAAATCATGCAAGTGGGTGGTGTGGTTAAACGCAACCAAGCCTAAGAGGGTAGTCCACCAATGGAGACTAAGAAAGGTGTCTGTGATAGCAGGTACCGAAGTCCTGCTCAGGCCTTCACACATAAGTTGCTCCTGCCGGATGACCACTTTGCCCTCCAAAAGTGTGTACAAACCGGCTCTCGAGATTTCCAATGCTGATAGTAGCTAGGAAAAAAAGGGCGAAGATGAGATGCTTTGGGATTCGGTCTTAGCAGTGGCGTTCTTTCAATAACCAATGCAGAAAACCAAGATCTCCCTTTTCTACTTTCAAAATGCATACCAGTTCATGCTCTATGAAGCGCTCCAACCGGACTGCTAAGTGTTACCTTGATGATTATTACTGAAACCGTCGTCCGTGTGTCAAAGTTTGTTCAAGACTTTACGTGGCTTTTGACAGAATTAAGTGGATATTGGCGGATGCATAAATTCGCCTTACAGTGGCCATTTCGATTGAGCGTACAAAGCTAGATGCATCATCCAGTTGGCGATTCGATTTTACTGACATCTGTAAGTCATCCAAACATTGCTGGACTGGTACAATAAAACAAGCCATGCCTAGGCCCGCGTAATGGAAGGAGTTGCGCCATAAAATAGTGCAACTGTGCAGTGTTCAAAGTCAGACTCATGGTACACCGATGTGTTCCTCTTCTCCCACCATTCAATTAACATGTCATCAGCTGAATCAAATGGATATGGGGCGCTGGACGCTATCTTAAGTCACTCTGCTATCCATGATGTCTAGAGCCGCAATTAAGGGACCGACGCTGTTGGCGCTCGAGTTGATGAATTGTGCCGTCTCGATGGGACTAAGGGGGCATGCAAAGTGAGTGAAAGATTGTAGAGGAGGTAGTCTGGTATCGGTATGCATTGAACTGTGAAATCCTAATTCTTGTCTTGCAAAATGTATTTGTACTCTCCTTCACTACTACAATGGAAATGTAATGCTGCCTATTGGATGACCACTTGCACATATCTTCGCTAAGCGTAGCATCAGACCCATTGATCTGGTACAAACAGTGGTCACCAATGTAATGAGGCTAAATCAGTGAAACTTCACTGACACTGCCAAGGATCTGCACCCGCGACCCACAGACTTTTGTATATGTGATGCAGATGTCCTTTTATCACATTATTCGCCTACCTCACCCAATGAGTGCTTTAGCAACCTCACCTCCAAACTTCGCGTAAGTGAAGCCCGTATTGCATTTGTGCTATTGCTTTGCGGGTGCACAACTATCTTGCTATTTCGCTCCGCATTGGCACCCTCCTGTAACTGGCACATTGGCTGTCGCTAGTTACTGATTGCGTGTAATCGAACCGATCCGTTCACGGTGGGGCAAAATTAATCATTTCGCCTCAGTTTCGCATCCTGTTCATCCGTTACTTATTCCTTAAAGGCTGCAGATGACCACCTCGAGCCCAGTTCCTGCTCACAAATTGTAGACTGTTTGAACATCTAGCAGTCTTCCTTGTTTACAGCTTCCTGCGCAGCGTCCTGCGAAGAATCTTTGCAACTGGATGCTTACAACTCTGACCCCTGACTTCTACTGCTCCACGTCCTACTCGTGGTGCAGTGATTGCGATTCACTCCTCTCATTCAAAAGAGCTTGCATGGCGGACTTAGGTAGGTATTACTGGATGTGGTCCCTAGGCCAATACTTTCTACATTTTCGCAACTGATACAACACCTTGACGATCCTCGAGCCAGCGCTGATGCATTCCATATTGCAAACAAATCCAATGTGCCGAAGCCTTGTACTGCAACAATCTCTCAAGATTA